GATCTGACAATAATTGCCGTGATAAAATTCAAGTGAAAGTTAAAATCCTAAAAAATTAAAAGTTATCTGTTCTGAGTTAGTTTCCCAATATCAAGATTTTCTTCTACTGAGATCAGTGATATTAACAAATTAATTTTTTGATATTGTATAATGAAACATCAGATTTTCAAAGTGTGGATAAGTCAATACAATTAAAAATATCACGCATGGCTAAAGAGCAATGCAATGTTCAAAACAAAACCAGTGGATTTCAGTGGAAAAGCACTAAAAAAAAAAAAAAAGTTTACAGGCTTGAACATTTAACTTCTGGGAATTCACTTTTGGAATGTTCTCTAGGTTACTAACTGATAAGGTAGTTTTGTATGACTAGGGCACTGAATCCTGTTGTACCAGTCTGCCTGGGCTGTATAAAAAATGTCTTTATGGTAAATATCATGATTGGCCGAGCAGGCACAGAGTGTTTGTGGAACCAGCTCCAGATAAGAGCCCTCGTCTCTAAGCCTAGTGGTGCAGTTTACTCCTGGAGGAAGACATGTGTTTTGTGTGACCAGGAGAAAAAACTTCAGATGTCTGAATGTGGACTTCTCCAGATGCCACTGCAATAAACAACAGTTGTAATTACAACTGCTTCTGAATCTTATTTTAGTCTGCAACAATGTAGATAGTCCCGAGATCCCAGAGTATGAAAAACTTTGTTTCCATTACCCACATTGCAACAAAATTTTAAGAAACTATTATTTGCCAAGTTGGGATGAAGTATCCAAGAAGAATAGCTACAAATTGTTAGAAAGGTATTAAAATTTTATTCCTTATCCAACTGCATGCCTGTGCAAGGCCAGATTTTCTTTCTCACACACTTTAATCAAAATAATTTATCATCATAAGTGGAATGCAAAAGTAGATATGCGAGTCAAGCTGTCTTCTATTAAGCCAGAAATAAGACATTTACACAGTGTAAAATAAAATGTTACTCTTTGTAGTATGTTTTTTAAATTTGGGAAAATAGTCTTCACTGAAAAACTTACATACACATGTAATGGGTTTCCCAGACCAAAAATAAATAAATAAAAATCTGAGAACCAACACTTTAACAGAGAACAATCAGATGCACAGTAAATTGTTATCAATATATAACAGAACAGCTATAATTTGACTCCTTTATTGGTCCCAATATCACTGAATTTGTAAAAGATACATCAAAATGGGTTTTCTCTGTTTTTAACGGGAATAACAACAAAAAGTTCTCTTGTTTTGGGATAACAAAAGACCTCAGATTAGCTGCCATCAGCCCTACCAGTTTATCTCAGCTGCTGTATACATATTACCATTTTACTGTCCATAGGTACTACGGTATGTGAAAGGTTAAAAGGCATTGGCCTAGTAGAACTGTCTTATAGCTACTTAATTAGCTTCAAGCATCTAAGCCGTTCGTCACATTTCTATCATTTGAAACGTACTGAATAACATGAGCTATTAAGTTATACTGAAGTCTTTGGAATGATGTTGTCATAGTACATTTTTTGATGTCAGTAATAATTTTGAATTTGTTCATTTCTTTTCTAACTAAAGTTTAAAATTAATGTGAGAATTACAAGACGGTTTAATTATGTCTTTCCATGGCATTAGTCAAACTATACTTTCAAGGTGATTTTCAGATAGCAAAGTGAAATGGTCATTTATTAATGAAAATGCTAAACCATAACTAAATTAAAAAAGGTTTAGTTTCCCCCTCTCAAGTATTAGTGAGGAAAAAAACATTTACTAAGTAGAAAAGAAAAAGTTTATCATAGTGAGTATCCATTAAAATAAGCCTTCACTTATTCAGTAAGTATCTGAAGGTTCGTTCAACAAACCAGGGAAAAAGTGGGAAGAAAAATGGTTGTGACACTACCTATGTGAAACTGACCAGCTTTCAGATGTTTTTTCATCAGTTATTTTCAATATACCCACCTTATATAGTTTTTCTGAGAGGTTTAAATGAAATATACTTGCTTTGTCTGAAATGTTACTGCATTTTATTCTTTTCATGTTTTTAAATTGTGTTAAATCATTTGTATCATGGCAATTATACTTACTAATGATTTTCTAGATAAAAGAAGTGTTATATTTTACTCACATATGGGTTAAACAGGTGTTTGCAAATTAGTTTAGGTACCCTTTTGTTTCAACTGAGAAATGCATTGCAAATATCTTAAAAATTAATCTCACAATAACACCATTTTGTAAACTATGCACTGACTGTATAATGGAGTACGAGGTAGAAAACAGTATCCAGGTATGGTCATGAATGTAAATTCTAGCCCATAATGGGGCCTTGAAACTGTGTGCTGAAATAAATTTAATCTGAGGTCTTTTAAGAATTTTAAAAATATAAGTGTTTTTTAAGGATTTCTACCCAGAAACATCTTAAAAGACACTGTATCTTAAAGATGATGATAAAGAAATTGCTAATTTAATGGTTGATAAAACAACTGATACAGTGCTACTCATCAAAATACAGCAGTTAAAGACTGGCAATTTAGAAAAATGACAGAAGTTGTATAACTTTCAAACATCCAAAAAAGCAAAAAACAAATAGCTGAAATTCACAGTGGAGCAAAAATCAATTAAATTTTAGTAATAATTTCTTTAAAAAAATAAGCACACACAAAAACATGCTGGAGTTCTAGCAGGAACACAAAGTCTAAGATATCACAATATTATCATGACATTACATCATGATATTACATCGAATTCTGATCTTTACATTTGTATTAAAAAGAAAGCAACCATTTTTTTTTTTTTTAATTTCAGAGAAAAGCAAATTACTAAGAATAAGAAAAATTAAATGGGGCAAATTTACTTAAGAAAGAAGAGTTAGCAAGGGTTTTATCCAGTGTGTTCACAATAAAGCTAAATTCTGCTTGTGAGTATTAAGTGGCTTTCAGGAATGAGAGAGAGGGCAGGGAGGAGAGGAAGAAGGAAGGAAACAAGAGAAAAAAGAACATGGAAGGTAGCAAGTTTCTGTCCTTTGGAATGTGGTGTTATGAACTATTTAGCAATGCCCCAGGATAATCAGTAAGATCCATTATAGTTTTACTGTTGTTTTTGGTTATCAATCCAATGATACCGACTTTTAACACAGGATGGTTAGATACAGAGACCATCACCCCCCACACAAAGGTGAAGGCTATGAGACATGAACAAAGGCCCAAGAGGGTTCAGAGGAGATATCTGAGGGGACAGAGAGAGGTATGTGTTGAGGATGCTGGTAGAGAAGACTTCTCAGAAGAAATATATAACTTCGGTTTCAGAGAAAGAGTGTAATTTTACAACAGAAAATTTCACTAGAGGGTACAGCATGAGAAACGCTTGTCAACTTAATGTGGCTGGTGTGCCAGGCAGAAAAGGACACCCAAGGAGGCCTATGTCCTAATCCAAGAAGCCTTGAATACCTGTTATATGGCAAAAAAGACTCTGAGAGAGGTAATTAAAGTTATGGACCTTTCAGATAGTGAAATTATTTTTGATGATTTGAGTGGGCTCAATGTAACTAAACACATGAACCCTTAAAAGTGGACAGGAGATGTCAGAGAGATCTGAAGTATGAGAGCCTTGACCCACCATTCCTACAGGGAACCTTAAGAAAAGTGCGAGAATGCAGACAGTTGTCAGGAACAAGGACTGGCCCTGATCGAAAGTCAGCAAGACAGTGGAACCTCAGTTCTACAACAAGGAACTGAACTTGCTGAGAACATGAATGAGCTAGCAGAAGGTGCTCCCTAGACTCTGCAGTAAGGAACACAAGCTAGTCAACACCATGATTTCTGCATCACAGGACCCTAAACAGAGGACCCTGCTGAGCTCATTCAAGTTTCTGACCTACAGAAACTGTGAGACAATACATTTTGGTTACCTAAAGCTGCTAAATTTGTGGTAATTTGTTAAGAAAGCAAGAAAACTAATACAGATGGTAAGTTTCAGGAAAAAAATATATTTCAAAGTAGAGCAAAGGATGTGTGGGTAAGGAAGAATGGAGGAGCTGACAGGGATGAAACTGGTAAAGCAGGTACAGTCCAGGTTATAAGAAATCTACAAGTGTTATTTAAGGCAGGGAGAGATGCTGAAACTTTTAAAGTGGGAGAGATGATGAAAAACAGCAAGTGGCAGCAATGCTGTTTACTGGGGATGAGTAAAGGCTGTATTACAAATACCAGTGCAATAAATGATGAAAACCTGAACCAAACCCATGAGAAAGAACAGACAGGACCAGTAAGTTTGGAGGGCATTTCAGAAGCAAAACACAAGTCTTGGCTCCTGAGTGGTGCTGGAAATGAAAAGAACAGTCCTAGATAATTCATAACTTAGTCCTAATGATTAGATGATGTTTACTCAGGGAACAAAAGAAAGACAAAATATTTTGAGGAAATTAAAAACAGGAATGGGTAGGGCTTCCCTGGTGGTACAGCAGCTAAGACTCCATGCCCCCAGTGTAGGGGCCTAGGTCGCCAAGAGTCGGACACAACTGAGCGACTAAGCACACACGCCCGCACATACACACACACACACACACACTCTAACACAGAACTAGATTCCACACGCCCTAACAAAGAGTTTGTATGCTGCAACGATCCCACATGCCGCAACTAAGACCTACTGCAACTTAATAGATTAAAAAACACAAAACTGGAAGAGGGACATTTACTTTCCACTAATTTTAAAATAAATTGAAAACATAAATAGAGTTTTAAGCACTGAGTAAACACACAAAGGGCTTCCATGGTGGCTCTGTGGTAAAGAATCTGCCTGCCAATGCAGGAGACGTGGGTTTGACCCCTGGGTCAGGAAGATCCCCTGGAGAAGGAAATGGCGACCCACTCCAGTATTCTTGCCTGGGAAATCTCATGGGCAGAGAAGCCTGGTGGGCTACAGTCCATGGGGTCGCAAGAGTTGGACACGACTGAGCACCTAAACAACATCAAACACACAAAGGCAGCACCTGCTTTGTTAGGCTCTATTACCTCTGCTGTTGCTTTCCGGATAGGCAAATGTAGGCTTATTTGGGGAGCGTCGCAGATCACTGTTAAGGAAAGGCTTATCGGGTGGATATACTACATATGGAGATGAGGAATGGTGAACCATACTTCCGTTAGACTTTGATGGTTCTGCTAAGATGTTCTGAAAAATAAAAATGCGAAATTACCTTTCAAAATTTTAAATCACATATATTATGCATATATATGTATGTTCCACTGATAGCAACAAAAGAAGAAATAAAAGTCAATGATCATACACAACAGAATTCAATCATTACTCGAAAATAATAAAACTTTTAAAGTACTTCAATGTCTAAATGTAGCCATATGCCAAATACTATAAAAAAGAAATAATGTTCACATAACTTGAATACAACTGCTCCACAGAAATACTTAAATGTGGTACTCACAATGAATTTAATAGTTTCTTTCAAAAATACTGTAAGATATACGTTCGGAAAAGTAAATACTATCTTCTTACAGTATCAGGAACTGCTACAAAGTGACTAAATTAATCTATTCCCAGTCAACTACATACTTCCTAAGTATCTATCAAATATTCAAAATTCTGGGTGTATAAAGAAAGAAAATAAGGTACAGTCCTTATCTCAAAAATTTTACACTCAGTTAGGGTGGAAAAAAGGGAGGAGCCACTAGAAAACATTGTCTTATCAAACACCTAAATATATAACTTTATTTCCACATTTACATCATTTTGTCACATTGTTTAATTTGGGACTATGTTTTATATGATGATTTTCAGTGCATGATAATTTTTTGCTTGTTGTAGGTGAAGTGTTGGTTGAAAGACCCAGAGTGGGAAAAGCTCAAGTGGAAGATATGACTCCTAGCTGCTCAAAACTCTGACATCCATTTTTCTTATTCAAATAGCCACAGTAAACTAGGTTCTCAACTCTTACCTTTGGGGAACTATGATTATAAAGTATACTCACAATAGCCTGTGTCCAGAAAAGTAAAAAGGAACAATGAACAGTACAATGCCTCCTGGGATAAACAGAGGCCATCAAAATAACCATATTTTATCTAATTCTTATGAAAAATGGTGGACTATTTCTACGATAAAAGCCATGTAATTTTGCAGCTGATTTAAGAAAGCAAATACAAAACACACACTATGGATGTGAAAACTAAAGTGAGGGAAAAGGGCTTGGAAAGGGTAGGAGACAAATCTCAGCAAGTTCTCAAATCAATGCTACTCTGCTGTGAAAAGTCTGTTCACATGCAACGAGGACTAACAGCTTGCATTTTTCAAACTTTTGGTCAAAGTGACATCAAGTTTTGGAGGTGGCTGGAAAATAGGGTGTTTTTCAATTCTTAAAATATATAATATCGCCAAAGCTTTCACAAAAGATCATGAATATTCACATAACTTTAAGTATTATTCTTCACAGAGAGCCTTTTATCTCCATACAACCTACGAGAATCCTATCATTTAAGTACTATTCAAAGAACAATGGTTAGGAAGTATTTTAATTAACATATAAGCCATGAGCAAATAAACTTATGATTTTCAAAACAAATTTTATTAGTACTACCAAACACAATACAGATATTAACAGAAGGATTGTGTATAAATAATTTACCAAAAACCAAAACAAAAAGTAAACACTCAAATCAAAAAAACGAGAACCATCTTTGCTAAATTCATGGCCTACTAGACCTTGTAAAGTGAACAGTTCAAAATTTGATATTTCTCACTCCAATAAAAGTAATTCCAACCTCAAAAAAAGTCTGTTACATATATATCATCAAAATACTGCCTGGGTTGGGTCAATTGACAAAAATTATGGAAAGTCTTTTAATATAAAAAGGCAAGTTATAATGAAAATTTTTTGACTAGTATATAATAGTCAATATATATAATTCTAAATATATTCCGTTTTCTAAGTCTGTCACCTCATTTTGAACATCAGGGTTTAAGCAATGAAAGTCAGTGTTACTATGAATGCTTTGGATCACTGTCCTCATCTGCTGCCAGAAGTCTGAAGCAAAGAATCGAAGTCACCCCAAAACAAAAGGAAGACAGGAAACAAAACAGCTTTATAAAAATTAATTATAAGAACTATTCTGAAATAAAATTAAACCAAGAAATAAGAAACTGATAATTACAAAGTGTCTATTAAAAATTATAAAGAATAAAATGTGGTACTTCAGTCTTAGAAGTGGAATCCCATCACATGCTACATAATGATGAACCTTGAGAAATTATGCTTAGTGAAATAAACCTGTTACAAAAAGACAAATATTTTATGATTCCACTTACATGAGATATTTAAAGTAATTAAATTTATAGCAACCAAGTAGAAATGGTTATTAGTAAGACTGAGGAAGGTTGCAAAGGGGAGTTCTTTAATAGATTACAGTTTCTGTTTTGCAAGATGAAAAAGTTCTGAAGATCTGTTTCACAACAATGTGAATATATTTAATATTATTGAACTGTACTTTACAAATGATTAAGACGGTAAGGTTGGAGAAGGAAATGGCAACCCATTCCAGTATTCTTGCCTGGAGAATCCCATGGACAGAGGAGCCTGGCGGGTTATAGTCCATGGCGTCACAGAGTCGGACACGACTGAACAACTAAATAACAAATATGGTAAGGAAGTAGATAAACACCTAAGATAATAATACTTTGGCTACCTGATGTGAAGATCTGACTCATCGGATCATTCCCAGATGCTGGGAAAGATTGAGGGCAGGAGAAGCGGGTGACAGAGAACAAGATGGCTGGATGGCATTGCCGACTCAATGGACATGAGTTTGAGCAAGCTCCAGGAGATGGTGAAAGACAGGGAAGCCTGGCGTGCTGCAGTCCATGGGGTTGTAGAGTCAGACACAACTTAGCAATTCAACAACAATCAGACTCAAGTCCTCACTAATTTAGAAAAACACTTTCAATCTCACCCATGACTCACAGTGCTGAACTCACTGATCTCCCACGTGACACAGCAGATCACTTCATCCCAACACTTTCTTCAGCGGAAGGAACACCACAATCTGGTTTTTCAGTGTCTCCATTAGAATCTTCCGGCTCTCTCTCTCACCTTCCTCTTTCTAACTTTAATGCTGAAGTTCTCTAAAGCTTAATCTTTCCTCCTCTTGTTTCCATCTACATGGATACCTTTGATGATATCATCAACTCTCAGGGCTTTCAAAGAGCCTCTATTTGCTGATAACTTCCAAGTTTAAATATGGAATACATACTTCTCCCTCTTTTAACTCCATACTCAAATCAACCTTCCTACGTGCTTCCTCTACTTGAATGTCAGTATGAGTATCCCAAGCAATGTGTCTATAACCAAATTCTTGTCTCTGTCTTCACAATATAGCCAGAAACTCTGCAACCTGTCATCAATTCCACTAATTCTCTGTGATCTTTCTGTCTGGACTACCATAACAGCCCCCCGAACCATTCTTGCCTGCAATCTCCCTAACTCCATTTTCCAGATAGTAATTATTATGATTAAGAAAATTAATTCAAGTAATGTCCTTAATCAAAACCCTCCCAATGGCTTTCTGTCACAAAATAAAATCCAAAATTCTTACCACAGCTCCACATCATCTGACACCAGGCTGACAATGACCTCATTCCTCACAAGTCTCTGTCTAAACTACCTACCAGCAACTCCCGCCTCCGCTGCCCAGATTTTCCAACCATACTGACCAACTTTTGGATTTCTATAATGCACAGTACACTCCATTTTCATTTGCTGCATTTACTCTGCTCGGAAAGCTCCCTTCCACACACCATTCAGTTATCCATTCGAAAGTCTGTTAGTGAGGTAAGGGTAGATTGGCTCAAGATGGTGGAATAGATGGATGTGAGTTCATCTCTTCCTGTGAAAGCACTGAACTGCAACTAGCTGTTGAACCACCATGGACAGGAGGATGCAGGAACCCACCAAAAAGATATCAAAGGCAAGGGAGAAGCCACAAGATGGAAGGAGGGACACAACCATGATAAAATCAAATCCCATACCCACCGAGGGGCAACACACAAACTGGAGAACAACTACACCGCAGAGGTTCTCCCACTGTTGTGAAGGTTCCAAGCCCCACATCAAGCTTCCCAACCTGGGGATCTCACAAAGGGATCTGACAAAGTCAGTCCCCAGGGAATCTGACTTTGAAGGCCAGCGGGATTTGACTGCAGGACTTCCACAGGACTGGAGGAAACAGACTCCACTCTTGGAGGACACAAACAAAATCTTGTGCACACCAGGGCACAGGGAAAGGAGCAGAGATCCCCCAGGAGACTGAACCAGACCTACCTGCTAGCGCTGGAGGGTCTCCTGGGGAGGTGTGGGCCGGCAGGGGCTCACAGAGGGGGCAGGGGCACTGGCCGCAGCAGGCCTGGGAGTGCCCCTTGGCGTAAGCTCTCTTGGAGGTGAGTCCTACCTACAGTCTGTAGACTCCAGGGCTGGGTCCCTCAGGCAAAACAACCGACAGGGGTGGAGCAGAACCCCACCCACCAGCAGACACTGGGATTCAAGTTTTACCGAATGTTTGCCCTGCCCACCAGAGTCAGATCCAGTCTTTCCCACCACCAGTCCCTCCATCAAGAAGCTTGCCCAAGTCTCTCGGCCTCATCCACCAGAGAGCAGACAGAAGAAGCTAGAACTACCTTCCCACAGCCTCCAGAATGAAAATCACAATCACAGAAAGGAAATAAAAATGAAAAGGCCTTTTTTCTAGATTCCATACATATGCATTAATATATTATACTCATTTTTCTCTTTCTGACTCACTTCACTCTGTATAACAGGCTCTAGGTTCATCCACCTCACTAGAGCTCACGCAAACTCATTCCTTTTTATGGCTGAGTAATATTCCATTGTATATATACCACAACTTCTTTGTCCATTCATCTGTCAGTGGACATCTAGGTTGCTTCCAGGTCCTGGCTATTGTAAATAGTGCAGCAATGAACACTGAAGTGCCTGTGTCTTTTTCAATTATGGTTTTCTCAGGGTATATGCCCAGCAGTGGGATTGCTGGGTCATATGGTAGTTTTACTCCTAGGTTTCTATTTTTTTTTTTAACAGAAATCTCTACACTGTTCTCCATAGTGGCTGTATCAATTTACATTCCCACCAATAGTGAAGGAGGGTTCTCTTTTCT